ACTTTCTCGTGCGACCGACAATCGATCAAAGACCAAGTCAGTCATTCCTGGGTCATTACCTTGTCGCCACTGTTTCTCGAGCACCGGTAGACTACGGTGCCCCCTGTCTCTTATGCCGCTGCCTGGAGAGCACTGCGAAAAAGTAATCCCGCCGGACTGCTGCTACAGTACGTATGAGTACTCGTACAATACAGACTGTACGGTACAGTGCCGGTCTCAACGCCTCTCCCCCCCGGTCCATCACCGCTGCTTTGGTAAATTGCAAGCACAATACAGGATTACGTATTTCAGCGATTTACAGTCGCACCTCGCTATAATGGACCTCTTTGTATGAGAAACCTCGCCATTACGAATGAATCGTACGGGAATCAAGACCCCTGCTCCCATACAAACAGTACTCGCTATAAGGAATTCACTCCAAAACCTCGTTATAACGAACAAAACCCCCCCAACTCTTGGCGTTCTTTATAACGAGGTGCGACTGTACTCTAATAAATAAGGAATCGCCAAAGATAAAATACTCGAGTACAGTGCGCCAGAGTAACAGCCGGAGCGGTCCCTGATGGATTGATTGATTGATTGATTGATTGCTAAACCTCAAACTCACCAAAACTCCCGGGAGCAGGCACACGACCCCCTCGATCGATTGATGGATGGGCTTCACCTTTTTTTTTATGTTGCGCATAGCAGCACAGCCGCGGCTAAGACCTTTCTTATCGTGAGACCTTTTTTCCGGTTCCCTTCCTCCACCCCTCCCTCACACACATTTCACAACCCCCCCGTCTCCACTTCTTATTTCAGCTCCCATTCATTCTCTCATACAAATCGTGACCCCCTTCTCAATATTCCCTAGTCTCCCCGATATTGAGAACGTCAAACACTCCCTCCTTCTCGATCCCTTCTTTCCCGAGGGCTTCTTTCAGTAACCTCGGCGGCTCGAGTACAGGCTCATCAGTCAATACAAACGTACCTAAAGCGCACCCCCCGCAGACGAGGTAATCAAAATTAGCCATCTTGATCCCCAGGAAAACTCTACCCCCATCACCTCATCGTTTCTCCCTCACTCCCGATGATGATGCTGATGATGGGAAGATGGATTCCATCCCATCGAGATGAAATGCGGGGTAACCATCCAAGGCGCCTAAATTTGGCGATTCCACAAACCGAGTATACGTGATAGAGGTTTTAGCTTGCTCCTTCCCCCCACCTCCTCATTCACCTCAAGAGTGATCCCGAGATGGCAAAAAAACGGGGGGAGATGAAGATGAAATGAGAAAGGAATTATATCCAGGTGACTTACCCCAGTGAATTCCGAGCGCCTTGTTGCACTTTGTATCCACAAAAATTCGCACGGCGTCGTATGGATTCGCGTGCATGGGGCTCATGACCCTAAGCACACAGTCCAAAGTTAGTCGAGTTCAAAATCTCATATGAGTCAAGAAATCATCTGCCCTGTAAAATCAAGGAAAAGAGGGGAAAAAAGCAAGAGTTAACCCCGACATTGTGACCTACGTTTGGCCCATAAAAAACGAGCGATTTCTGGAAGATTCCCGACCGAGCCGTAGCGCTGGGTATATCTTGAGGTGAAGCACGCACTGCGTCTACCTTAGAGTACATAATCATACCTTACAGGAACTCCAATGTCATACTCGTACAAGGGGCAGACTTAATCTCATGCGTCGAACTGGGTGCAGCGTCTGGGATATCCCATGCAAAGGGAATAAAATAAAAAAAGGAATAAAATAAAAGCAAGTGCGGGAGCAAAAGGAAAGCCTTCAGTTGAGATGAAAATGGAAAAAAGAAAGCATTGTGGGAAGAAACATACCCTCTTGGCACGTAGGCACCAATGGGTATCAGCCCAACATCAAACCTGGTCAAGGTAATCAGTTCAGTGAATCCATGAAAACCAGGATTTCGCTGCTGGATGGGTAAACACATACGGCCCTCTCAGCTCCCCGATCTGTTTGAAAGCCGGACATACTGGCAAGTCTCTGAACTCTTCGCCGTAATCATCAACAGATTTCGGAAGGTCCGGGGGGACAGCACGGTACCCGGTGTCGCTGTGTATCATTTCCAGTCAGCCAAAGAGAAAGGGAAAAAGAAAAAAACACTGAGTTAGCTTTGAAATCCTCAAACATCAAGGGAAAAAATAACTCGGCCTTTACGACCGTAACACAAATTGGGTTAAAGTAATGGGCAATAGTACTCGAGTAGCCTGGGGGATGTAATAAGGTGGTAGGCAAATCTCCCCTACTCGAACAGCAAGTGATCAACGGGGAGAGCAAGGCGGGAGGAGTTGGGCGTTCGCAAGAACTATAAAAAAATTCCCCAGCATCGGAAGGGGCAATGCTTCAACCCGACGGATAGTTCTGCCTGGGGGGTCGACGGCCTCATATTGTGTTTAATGGGAAGCCGCTGACCGTTCCCAAAATGTAGGTCCCCATCACCCATCTGGGGCTATGCTTCAGCCCAGTAAACAACTTGCCTATACGGAGTACGGTATCCAAAATATGAACAACCAGTTTCTGAGACCATTTAGGCCGTCGGTTGACCCACGGCTGGGGCCCCGGTATCACACGGGAACTCACCATAACCAAGCCAATTTGAGGGGTTTAGCAGGGGCGGTGGGGGCATTTTGGTTATCAAAGCCCTGGCCCTCGTACTCGAGTAGGGGGAGGGGAAGAAGAAAAAAAACCAACAGACAGGGAATGATACAAGCAAAAATAAAAGCATGGATAAAAAAGAGGAAACGCAACAATGAGAAGACGACACCACCACGGGAAATGATATCGTCACTCACCCTCCAAAGTAAACCTTCTTTCCACCGCTTTCTATACTCCAACTGGCCCACAATGTCGCACCTCGATCGGTTAATCCTCTGTTGCTGGTATGTTGGCATGGAAGGCAGCCTATTCTCGCAACAATGCCATTCGCCTTGGGACCTTCCATTGTGGGCTCCGCTTGCACTTTCGATGATAGTTCGTTGGGATCGGTAGAGGGAGAAGACCCGGCTGAGATCTGAGAATTGGATGGAGTGAGCACAATATCTCGCTCCTCCCACCAGTCTAGTTCGATACACTTCTCGACACCGGAGCAGGCGAACCTGTGCAAACCAATGCATTGTTAGAAAGAGGGCTGCTTCAAATACATTCCATGTTCGCCAGTGGGCCGCATGCTGCAGAGGGGAGGTACCAACCAAGCCTTGTTACCCAACGGTACGAAGTACCAGGCATCTGGATGGTGCTTCTTCAATTTTATAACTGTGTTATGATCCAAGTGGTCATAATGATTATGACTAATGACCACAGCGTCCACAACAGGGATATCCGCAATATCGCATGGCATCTTGGTGTATCTCTTTGGGCCGATAAATTGTACTGGACTACACCTCTCTGAAAATACTGGATCAAACAGGACGCGGAAGCCACCGGGAAACTCGACATAAAAGCAAGCATGACCGAGCCATGTCGCACGGAATTCAGTAGAGACAGTGGAACGGGCTGGTAGGAATTGAGGGGTTACGACTGGAACTGTTGGTGGGGTAGTTGAGGGACCCCAAATTCCAGCGGAGTCAGGACCCACGCGATGCCTAGTGAGAGAAAGAAAAGAAAAAAAGGGTGGAAGCAGCCGGTCAGGTCGATATTCGAATACGAGGGATAAAGTTAAAGAAGGGAGGAAATGTTACCGAGCAATGGTTTTCAGAGCCTTGATCGGATCTAAATCTCTCCAACTTTGTTAGATGTCAGTACAATGCCGCTCGGTTTCAAATAAGTCTACTTTTTTCGCAAGGGAGGGGGGTAAGCGGTATTGCAGAAAGGAGGGATTTTGTGTACGTTTGGTTTTGTGCTGACAGGAAACATTGACAAAACTGTACAGCAAACAAGCAAACAGCCCCAAAAAGGGTGGGAGAAGAGCAGGAAGAGAAGGGGAAAAAGGCGTTCTCGAGCTCAGAATACCACCCATCATTGAAACTTTCTTTTATTACTCATACCTCGGCCAGGGATTTGTAAAGCCTTTTCCATTCTCCAAGTGGTGGGACTTGTTAGCCACGTCCTCCGGCGAGCTCGAGAGGTTCTGCGGTGTAGAGACGGAAACGCTATAGACGCTGGCGACAACCGCCCTGGTGCTGGACATCCTCGTGGGGGTTGTCGTGCGAGACGAGACGGTGCTGAAATGTGGTATGACGTTGTTACTGTAGATTTGGTTGTGTGAAAACAAACTCCTGGGAACAAAGCGATAGCTCTGCAGCAAGCACGAATGTGAACTTTGCAGGAATCCGAAGAGATCTGAAGCCGGACGGGGTCGCATATAAGCCCGTTTATATATTTTATTTTTTTCTCCCTTCCACTCTCTCTCCCGCTCTCTTGTCTAATCGCCAGCTTTCACCTTCCAAGAGAGGGGGCCCGTGACATGCTATGATGGGGAAGGGTGGGGCTTGCTGGCGGAAAAAGTGACGGGGCTACAAATTTGTGGTTGCAATTATGATTGATGATGGGGAGAGGGTGAGGGATGTTGGCGGAGGGGAGGAAAACTGACTGCGTGGCCCTGCAGCGATCAAGCAAAGCCAGCGCAAAACAATTGGAGATGTACTGTACGACTTCTTGAAGTGGAAAGGTATCTGATTGCTGCGAACACGAGAAGGGAAATGCGGAGAAAGTAGAAAGTAGAAGTGCAAATACCACAGAAGGGGAGAATAGGAAGAAGAAAAGAAAGTCGTGATTTTACTCGAGCAATCATGATACCTGTAATACCGGCAACCTGCAAATTTGTAAACGATTTTTCTCCCATGCGCTCCGGTAGATCTCAATTAGGTTCACAGTACGAGTATCATACCGGTACCGGATAGAGTTGTCCCACGCCCCTCTATGGAGTCGTCCATGTTTAGCGGTTCCCGTGTGGAGTAGTAAATAAGAGCTCCATGGACAACGCATATCGTGCACGACCACCACCACGACAACAACAATGCCTACTCGGGTATAGGGTGCATACTGGTACGTACTCTACCCAGGGCGGGAAACTCATCACAGCCCCCGACCGTGCGACCAGACACGGAGGAGGAGAGTCTGTTTTTGGTGGATCCGTGATGGTCTACGGGATGCGATGGTAACATCATCCCGCAACGAGCAAGCCCCCCCCATCGAGAATCACTCGGATTAACTATCTTTCCGAGGGAATTCTCGATCAATTGAACAGAGCCGATATCTCCTTTAACCCCTTGGTGTGGACCGGGGATATGTGTCTGCCGGTGTTCCTACTGTGCCGCGTTCGAGTATGATTGATTACCTCATCTCTTAATCAGTGCGCAATTGGTGGCCTTGGGCTAGCCTAAGATGTTTGCCGAGGGTGGTGGTGGTTTGGCCGGGGAGCTCTGGCTGTGACCTGACCTGTAGAAAGCATCTATACGGTTGTCATACTTGAACTACCAGTATTCCACCTCTCGGAACACTCTGGGGAACCAAAAATGGTGGCCAATACGGACGAAGAGGTAGTAGACTACCTGGCTCAAATAGTTCGCGAAAGGGAAGATCACGGGGTTTCAAATTGCACCCCCGGTCCACCATCGCATAAACCCTCAACCGTGATTTGCGAGTGAGCTCTCACGCATGCAGATGCATCTCTGGGCCATGCATCATAGCTCATCGCTCGGTCATCAATCCTCCATCCTTAACCCATCTACTCGTATCTGATTGCAGCATCGGGAAAAGAACGATCGAAGCCATGGAAAGACCAGAATTATCAAGAATTCTGGAACCCAATCATTAACTTTGACCTTTCTTCCGTCCTAGTCGGGGGGGGGGGACATTGCCAACTCATCATTGTTCCAAAATGATCAGCCAAGCCATCTAATGCGTTCTCGTTGCACTACCCGAAAAGAAAGCATGGCTCTCGTTTATCTTAGAAAACGTTAAGATTTCGCTTGCCTCCTCATCTGATCTTACACTACCCCAAAAACTGATTGAAGGAGGAAGGAGAATCACAAAAAAGAAACTTTTTTTATCATATCGTACGGTTTCGCGCAATATTATCCGAGCATAATCTATAGTATCGAGATGAGAATTTAATGGCATCATACGTTATGGACCAGCTAACTGACGCAGGAGGCAGTAGTAGTATGTCCCATTCCTAAACGACAACAGAAAAAGGTTCGCCGTTAAAATTCCTAACCTCAACCTAGCAAACCATCGCCGCCATAGAGGGGGCGCAGCAGGCGTAGATGAAGTCGAGTACGATCGCCTTCGTGCCCGTAAGTGGCCCCTCTACCATCCATCCCGCAACCTAACCAACACTCTCGGCTCCGGTACCGATAGTCGCCCACGAACAAGCCCGCCTGCGCACAGACTGCTTCGCTCGCTCTCGTGAAGCCTACGTTAATGGCGACGGTGCAGCAGCCCACAACCTGAGCGAGGCCGGCAAGCGCCACGGAGCCTCAATGGAAAAGTACAATGCTCAAGCCCGCGACTACATATTCCGCGCCAACAACGTGCACTTACCCCCCGATACCATAGACCTCCACGGATTGTACGTCGAGGAGGCCGAGGAGATCCTCGAGAAGAGGATTGATGCGGCGAGGGGTAGGAGGGAAGGGCACTTGAACGTTATTGTGGGTAGGGGGAATCATTCGGTGGGTGGAGTTAGGAAGATTGGGCCTGCGGTAATGGAGTTGTGCAGGAAGCGGGGGCTGAAGGTTGAGGAGGAGGTGGGGAATTGGGGGAAGTTGATTGTTACGCTTGGACAGGGTGGGGGTGGAGAGCAGGGTTATGGGAGGTATGGAAAGCAGCAGCCACATCACCAGCAACAACAGGGACCACCAAACGACTTGGAAGAGCCTGCCAGAAGGGCTGTCCCAAAGATTTTCACAAAGCTCCAGGGTTGCTGTATCATTTGTTGATCTGCCTGAAAAGTACGAATGCTGGATACTCTCGTTATCATGTCTTTTTTCATTTTTTTACACACATGCTCGAGTAATATATGCCCTTCATGAAGCTATATATAATTTGATTTTATGTTTTATATTTTGTAACGATAATGTAATTCCGGTAGCATTGGGGGGGGGTAAGCTGGGGAATATGAACGCGTCGATTCGCGAGTTGTGGAAAGCATTGTGTGCATTAGCGTGACAGAGGTGAAGTCTCGTGCACGGGATGCATAAAAACTTGCAAGTATATCATAGAGCAATGCGTGCATAGGAATGAATAAGAGAGGCGATCATCGGGCTTCGAGACCAATGATACCACTCTGGCATCAAATCCCCAATTACCGCCAGGTACCAAGGTACGGTATAGCACCTTCTCACCGCCACTCGTGCCATCGCGAACTAGATAAATACTATCCTATACCTTGCGAGCACCCCATCACAATCCCTTCCACCCGTGCGGGCACATTTCCACCGGCAAACCCACAATTCGCCCCGGGTTATCCATTCTATGTTACGCTACGACAAGCAAACCCCAATCGATGCCAAAGCACCAATGCCCTCTGCTCTTGTTATCTATCCCCCTGCCAGATCACCCAAGCACCCTAGCTTTTCATGAGGGAACAACCCATCTCATTCACAGCCAATCACTCGCACTACCGTTTCAGAAAAAGGCTGGTTTGGTGAGGGTGCAGCATGTTGGGAGGTATAGTGCTGCAGTGTGAGGTGGTTTGGTGCCGACCGATGATATGTCTATAGCTCTAATGCTACCGCTAAGGACTGGGTAGAGAAATCGTAAAAGGAATCGCCTCGCTGAAGTGAGCGACCGCCATAGGCATTTTTAACCATGCCGCATGAGATCTTGCTTTTCCCGGATACGGTGTTTCGGCAAGTTCTACCGCTATAGTGTCCGAAAGTGATGCATGCCCTGAGCGAAGCGGGGTGCAGTAAGCTAACTTACGGTCTAAGGAATGTCACAACAACAACAAAAGCCTCCCGGGTTGTATCATGAATTCCCAACAGGATAGTGTCTGAGGGCATTAGGAGAATAAATTACGGGCCCCAACAAGCTATTATACCTCCAGTCTAGTTGAAGTTAAACTGGAAGGGTTTTTAGCAAGACATTCCCGCCGGCGCTAAGAGGTTGGCCACTAGCAAAGTGATAGAACAATCTCCGAAGTAATATGTTGGAGGGTATTGCCCGAAGTCTTTGTGTATGCAATTCCTCTGGACATGTATCTTCTTCCTGTGTGTATAGGAGACCATCTTCACTCTTGAATCATTACTCTTCCCACCTTTTTCCGAGCTTCCTGTGGAATATATCCACTCTTCCCTCCGCCCAAGTGTTTCCCTTTCACTACGAAGTACCCGCTGCATACATTCACTATCACAAAGAAACTCGTATCATATCAAAAGAAACCACCAAAAGATAATGAAGCAAGAGGGAGATCACTGTGCGCCAAGCACAACACAGGGTGGACGTGAAACAATCGTGAGCTAGATAATCGTTAGAATACTAGGAAAGAGTAGGCGCAGGAGGCATATATGTCTCCCTGAAGAGCTAGAGAGGCTGGGAACCGAACGAGACTCCGTAGAGCATAAAGAAGGATCCAGATACACAGGGACACTCTGGTTATGACAGGAGGGCGGGGGAGGCGAGCGGGCAATCCACAGCCACCGTGAAAACCAAGCCATTGCCTGGTACCGCATGCTTAACAGCATTAAGCGGAAAAACGATAAAATAAACCAAATGCCCTGACACCCAATTGTGGCGGCTTATGGGAGAAAAAAAACGGACGCGGACACCCATGGCCCATGGCTGCTGAAAATTCCAAAAAAGAAAGTAATGATGAATAAAGAACCAACAAAAATAACCTCAGCCCTCGTACTCGCGCGGACAAACTCTTCCTCTCAGTCACGAAATCTGTAGAAACACTGCCAGGCAGTTGGCACCTTTCGGAGTCATCCGATGACTTGGCCCTAGTGCCTTCCCCCCCTCCATAACAGCACGTCGATACATAATCTCCGCCGCATCATATTTGCTCTAATCACATAGTACCGCGCCGAGATTGATGGTGCTCTGGAGAGTATTTGTATGACCTGGCCCCAGAACCCTCTCGCCCTGCCAGTGCAAGGAGGTGCATCATCTCTGCTTCGTGATACCTCCGCAGTCTGTGCAATCGAAATAGGAGGGGAGCCGGCTATTGCCTCTGGGGGTAATATTTCACCAAACTGCGGGTTGCTGCGTTAGCGGAAGTAATGTGTGAGTCGCAGTGAGCGAAAAAATCCATGATTCAAGTCTCACAGGACATGGTGGGCAGGTGGGGGGGACAGCTTGCAGCTTCGAGCTGACCCTTGGTACAAAGCTGGGTTTAGTCGCTAGGTGATCACTCCCAAGTTACTCGGCGCTGAGACTGCTAAAACTACCCTATTAGAGCGCCTTAGCTACCTGAGGTTGGTTTCACCGGTAGGGTATGATACCATAAGTTTCATGAAGTGTTGTCGTCTCTCTGTTCCCTCATCAAACAACACTTCTGACATCACTGCCGTCTCCGAAACAACCATTTCTCGCAACAGATTCTTACAAAATTGATATAAATCATGGATCGTATGTACCCGTTATTAAATGCTTGGTTTCTCAGGGTTACCTTTTGCTTTAGCAATCAAGAGCAGCCGTGAGCGCATTCCACTCTCCTAGGAGAAGAAGAGCTACTTCTTCAAGCGTCCCCTCTAACTACTCCCTCACGGATGAACTATCTTCTCCTAAGAGTGCTATTCCAAGCCTCCCCTCTGACTACTCCTTCCACGACTAAAAAAGCTTCTCCTAAGCGCACTATGGCTACGCAACTCCTCGCCATCTCTGACACAACTTCTCATAACATTACCACCGCCTCTCTTGTTCCCCCTATCATGCAGATAGCCTCTCCTAAGAGTACCGCCACTTCTCCCCCCCATAGTATCTCAGATGTGGAGGCCAAACACTACTACTATGGGCTGGACTCCAAGCCAGTACTTGCTGCTCGCATGGGGAATGATCCTTGGGAATGACCCACAAGTCTAGAGGTTTACCTCAAGCCAGAGGAGCAAAGAGCAGTTGGCAACCACCTTTGAATGAGATCTGGAGGATAAGCTTGCATTTGAGATCCAAGAACTTCTGGAGAGCAAACGAGTGGAGTGGACGAGCACGCATGTTGCATGAATTGGTTTCATTGGACAATCCGTTGCTCCTGTCTGCATCTGGATCGGTGTCAAGCCTAATACCCTTTCCCGTGAAGATGGTCTTATAGTTGCCAAGGAGTGCAAGCGGATTCTTTAGTTCTGAACAAGATCCTAGAGATTGAAGTTGCGATCTGCGAATCCATCATGACCCGCTACGTCGGCCCCAAACTATGGACGCCTGTTCTCCCTTCTGATCCGACTCCTAGCAGCTCGAGCCCTTGACGTCAATTCTGAGTCTTTCTATTTGCAAAATAAAAGCACGCCATTGGCGCGGGGCACCGGAGGTTTTTACGTTACTGATAATAGATCTAATCTCTATATTGTTACTGCCCGTTACGTTGTATTTGGGCCTGACCGAGACGATCACAAGTATGACCGTGCTAGCTTGAGTCAGCCTTGTGTCAATATCGCTCTCTTTGGCACAGAGGCCATCAAGAACTCCCTTGTACAGATCGAGCTCGCTGTTGCAGATAAGAAATTGATCGTAGAGTATCTGGAGAGACGTGTCAGCAATACCCGGGAAGAATATCATAGTAGGAATATATATGCGGCTGTGCTGGAGTGTACTGCTGCGACTAGAGACAGGAAGAAGCGAGGAAGCAATCGAGGCTTTGACGAAGCTCCACTAGGAGGTTGAGAAAGGCTGGAGTAACGTCGACAACCGAATACTTGGCTAGGTCGACTTCTCCCCTTAAGTTCTCTGCTGAACTAAGCACACACAAGACTACGCCCTGGTTGGGATTCACAGCTCCAAAATTGACAAGACCAACTTTACTGGTAACCTCATTGGTCTTGGCACTCAGATCTCGCCCGACAAGTTTACTCGAATGATGTTCTCTAATCCTGCGAATCGCCGCTCCTTTAAATATCCACCCAACCACAGTGTTCCTAACTGTTCGGGGCACCCTACAGGATCCTGGTGGGCTGTAGTCCCTGTCGTCCCAGGCAGGGTGGGTGAGGACGGCAGGCATGGTGTCCGTCCTTCATAAAGAAGGCCATCGAAGGGGTTGACACCAGGGCCATGCCGTCTTAGAATAATTTCATCTTCCGGCGGTTATCTGTAGGCCCAGACCATTACCCACAGGGCCCATCCGTTGCATACAGGGCCCGGCCATTACTTGCAGGGCCCACCTGTCCGTCCCGGGCAGTGGCCAGGACGGACAACAAGATGCCCATCCGTCCTGGGCATCCACCTATGCACTGCCACCCGTCCGACCTGCTCCCAAGGACGGATGGACTGGATGCTTGGGTTCACTGCCCGACCACCTCTTCGAGATCCGGGGTACTATTCCCGACGGAGAACTGCGCAAGCCGACTATGTTAGACCAGGATGGTGGCCAATGTCTTGTGGTCTTGAAGCGCGGCCATGGTAGTGGTCTGACCATTGGCCGCGCTAATACTATCATGTCATTCGTCTGCGAAGTCAATACCAATGGAGACCCTGTTACCTCAAGAGAATGGCCCATCTACTCATGCAACGACAAATCTGGGCCATTCTCTACTTATGGTAACTCGGTCTCCGGTATCGTTGACTGCCTTGGATGACTTGGCAGTCTTACTGGTGGCAGTGAGACTTTCTCAACTGATACTTTACTACTCCCATCTCTTTATCATGGATGGTCTTAGGGCCAAGGGGCACAAGGTCACCATGGAGGTAACTCACCGATGAGGGGTCTAATGTAAGTTTCACAGTTATAAGTTTTTTTGCTCTATCAAGTGTTAACATGTATAAGAGTTTAGAGTTTCAGGTAGTAAGTAGCACTTAGTATTGTTAGAAATGAGATTACCTAGTGGTTGGTACTTACCCCGGTTTGTGCAGGTTGGCGTTAGAAGGACGAGAATTACGCATTTTGGGCTTTGGTTTGTTTTTCTGTTCTTTCCTCTTTGTGCAATGTCTTCTATATCATACTATTCCTGTTACAAAAGTGACCAAAAATTTTCAAGCTTTGTATTGAGCAAAGTTGAAACAAATATTAGGCTTAATATTTTATTTGTATGTATATCCTCTCCTTCTATTTTTTTATCTTTTTTTATTTTTATTTTTATTTTTATTTTTTTTCATTTTTATTCCTCTTGCTTAAACCTTTCATTTAAGATTCTCTTTTAATTCCTAGCCCTTTCAGTGTCTTATTTAACTCCTGCTGTCCTTTAATTTTTAAATTATGAGTAATATATGAGTAATATTATTACAAAAGGAAAACTACTTCACTGATGATCACTCAGACCTCGTCGCCTCGAAACCATGCTTGGCGCCAAGGCGTAAAAGCGTCGAAATACTTTTTTAAAAGTGCCAAGTAGTTGAAGTTAAACAAGAAGGGGTTTCTACATGAAATTCCCGCCTGCACCCCTGCACCTCGAGGTTGGCCACCAGCGTGGAGGCTCTCGTGATATAGCAAAATAAGCCAACCAAAGGATAAAGCAGCGAGTGGCAGATCACTGCGGATAAAAACGCAAATTGGGCATCAGGTGAAAAATCCATAAGTTATATAATGGACAAAATTGTAGGAAAGAGTAGACACGGGAGGTATATATATCTCCTTGAACAGCTAGAGACGCTACAAACCGAATAAAACTCCGTAAACCATAAATGAGGAACCGGATACAGAATAGCACTTTGGCGATGATAGGAGGGCGAACAAAGCTAATGGGCAATCCACAACCATCGTGAAAACCAAGCCCTTTTCCTGGTGCTTTATACTCACACTCGATAGCATAAAACGGAAAGGCGGTAAAGGTTTAATAAACCAATGTCCGGATACCCAATGGCACCGATTTAGGGGGGGAATACAAACAGGGTTCCGAATAGTCCGACCGGTCAAGTCTTGGAGGCAGGACCGGACTGGCCCCAGACCAGTCTTTATAAAATATTGCGTAGTCATGTAATATCACTCACTTAGTGCTCCGAAATTTTTTTTTTTTTGATACTCGTGAATCTATTTTCGCTGCCCCGAATTTAAGTGAGGCACTATTTCCATTCCAACTCTCCTGAGATTCTACAGTATAACCCACTGAAACAATGAGTTGTTTAATCAAGAAAATATTTATTTGAACGTAGGGAACTGCGATAAAGATAGTAAAAAGCAAAATAGGATGCTAATTCGGTCAATGGGCCGTGCATATCCTGTTGCTTGGCAGGCCTGGTCAGACCAGTGCTAGCCTAGTCAGGTCCAATAATCCTGACCGTCTAGTCGGTCTAATTTCCACCATTAGACTAGACTTGACTTCCGACCTGACTAGCTGGTCCAGTCCAGTCTTCCGCCGACCATTCGGAACCCAGAATACAAAACCGGCACCCACACCTTATACCAAAATGGCACCGGATGATAAAAAAGCATCCCAGGACCCATAGTTGCTGAAAGTCTGCAAAAGAGAAAGCAATATAAAGAGTCTAAAAAAAAAGAGAAATAACAGGATGGCCAAAATATCCTCGCCCCCCCTCCTCGTGTAAATATAAATCCTCTATCTCAGTTGAGATGCTCTGTCCGAGGATCTTCATTCCAAGGCCCGGAGAAACACTACCAGGCAGTTAGCACTTTTTAGAGTCATCCGATGACTTGGCTCTAGCGCCTTCCCTCCCTCTGCAACTGCGCGCCGATACATAATCTCCGCCTCGCCGTGCTTCCCTTAGTTGTGCAGCGCTGCGCCTGAGCCATTCACACTCCGCAAGATATTTGGATTATCAAGCCTAAATGTTTTCTCTCTGCTGGCCAATGCATATCGATACGCAATCTCCGCTTCGCTGTGTTTTCCCTGGTTGGATAGTGCTGCACCTAGGCTGTCCACGCTCCGTAAGGTATCTGGATGATCTGGCCCAAGTGTCTTCTCTCTGCTTGCCAGTGCTCGTCGGTACATAACCACCGCTTCGTCGTATTTTCTCTGGTTGTACAGCGTTGAGCCTAGGCTGTCCACACTCCGTAGAGTATTTGGATGATCTGGCCCAAGTGCCTTCTCTGTGCTTGCCAGTGCTCGTCGGTACATAACCACCGCTTCGTCGTATTTTCTCTGGTTGTACAGCGTTGAGCCTAGGCTGTCCACACTCCGTAGAGTATTTGGATGATCTGGCCCAAGTGCCTTCTCTCTGCTCGCCAATGCTCGTCGATACATAACCACCGCTTCGTCGTATTTTCTCTGGTTGTACAGCGTTGAGCCTAGACTGTCCACACTCTGTAGAGTATTTGGATGATCTGGCCCAAGTGCCTTCTCTCTGCTCGCCAATGCTCGTCGATACATAACCACCGCTTCGTCGTATTTTCTCTGGTTGTACAGCGTTGAGCCTAGGATGTCCACACTCTGTAGAGTATTTGGATGATCTGGCCCAAGTGCCTTCTCTCTGCTCGCCAATGCTCGTCGATACATAACCACCGCTTCGTCGTATTTTCTCTGGTTGTACAGCGTTGAGCCTAGACTGTCCACACTCTGTAGAGTATTTGGATGATCTGGCCCAAGTGCCTTCTCTCTGCTCGCCAATGCTCGTCGGTACATAACCTCCGCCTCTTCGTACTTTCCCTGGTTATATAGCGCCACGCCTAGACTATCCATACTTGGCATGGTATCTGGATGATCTAGACCAAGGGTCTTCTCTCTGCCCGCCGATACAGGTTGATACACAATCTCCGCTTCGTCGTTTCCTTTCATATTCCGTACTGGCTGAGCTGAGCTATTAACACTCTGTAGGGTGTCTCAATTATCTAGCTCAAGTATCTCCTTCCCAACTGCCAACGTGCGCTGAAAGATAATTTTTGGGCTACTGTAAATTCCTTGAACCCCTTGGGTGTGCGGGTGCTGTGCTCTAAATCCACCGTATTGCTCTGCGTGAGCCGAACTTCTGGCTTGGGTTGAACCCGCGTCGTTGCGAGGATCAATTTCTTCGCTTGTTGGATCGGGGTTGATTTATTTATTTCGCCTTGAGCACGACTGGAGGATATTCTCGCCAAAGCTCTAAGTTAACCCTCAGTAAAGCATTAGTTCCGGAGATTGCTCCCTAGACTGCTAGCAATGGGCAAGATTACTCCGACCACTTTTTCAAGGACAGCACTTTGGCCGGACACTTAACCGACCTCGCGCTCCGTTCTGTTCGCTCTCTCGACTTTTCCCGTGTAGCCGCGTCTCTCCGTTCCTCTTGGCAACTTTTCGATTGAACTTAAGGACTAATCAGCTGCAACCCACCGGCTGCGCCCAAAATCAGATATGAGCGAGGTATGTATTCATAGCAGGGGCCAAACCTGTAGTGTGTGTAATGGGGGTCCGAGGAGCTTCGCGTGTAATATTAGGTGTGAGGGTGCTCGTGGGGAGCTCAATGAATATCGTATGAGAAGGGTAAAGAAGTCTCAAGATGCTGTCAGGCGGGGACGTGATGTGAGCTTCGCCCATCAAAACTAATCATGCGGTAATTCTTATCCTGCTCTCTCGATAACTTAGGCCGCCAGGGCTTGCCCCCCTGAGTATTGATGGTGCAAGAAAACCAAATCGTGCACCAGTGCCGACCCCCAGATGCAACCTTTCGGTCGGCCAGAAAATTGTTCTTTAACTTATCAAAGGGCTGTTTAGCAACAGGAAAATTCCTCGGAACTTGTGTAGGGTATGTTTAATTCAGTTTTGCGAGGACTGCATGAAACCCCTTACTTTTCAAAGCCGTTGGACAGGGTGACGGATCGACTCCCGGCAAAGGCTCTTGATGTGGTTTCTGGCTTAATGAGCACAATTCATGACAATTATTCTCACCTATAGTCTCGGTTGATTTGGCAACGGAACTTGTTCTGTTACTCTTGATTGGTGACAACAATGAGTGGCTGTTCATGATTGAGGTATAGATCGCTTGTGTACTCGAGTAGTATAGTGATAAACCTGACTCCTGCCACCGCTCTAAGCACGATGATAGGTTTTTATATCCGGTGCATTATTGACCTTTTTTGTAAACCCCTAGTTCTATATGGTATCGGCTCCCGACAAGTATATGCATAATTGGTAGGGCCAGGAGAGTTGGGTTTAGGGCGTTGGTGTTGCGAGAGACTTCGGGTATAGTGTCGAGGCGGAGTTGTTCTTCACCAGTGTTCCCAACGGGCCAGGTAAGCCTGGCCGAAGGAAAGCCGGGCCTGGCCTACGAGAATTTCTGAGGATCTAGCCTGGCCGGCCTATAGGCTGTACTCGTACAGGCTTTGTACTACGATACCTGCCTTTTGGAGCTTGCTTAGCCAGATGTTTTCTTCCCTTTTGTTTTTAACTTCTGTTCAACGTGACTTGAGTTCTCCCAAGCTTTCACCTGCCTAGCGAATTCTCTCTAGGTCTATGCATTACTACTTGGTCCGGTAGTAGCATCTGTTTTGAACGATTTATTTCTTGTGGAAAGGACAAGTTAAAAACCGTGGCAAATTATAGGTAGTCATACACATTCTGGTGAGTGAACCAAATCTAAATCTCTTGGGGGCTCCTCTGGGGGGGGGAACAGTGGGGGATGAGGGCCAAATGCGAACATTTGGAAACTTTCTAAATTTGATTCTATGGTTTCTATGACAACAGTTTTTCAATGCCAAGGGTCCGGCCTATAGGGACCCACCAGGCCTGATAGGCTTCCTTAGGCTGATGGAATTAGGCCCATATCAGCTTAGTGTAACATGTTCGCAAGGTGCTAATCATGTTTCGGGGTAAAGTACAAAAGTCGGCAGATGGCCTACTCTACCAGAGAGGAGGTGAGAGCTGAGAATATAAGGCAGCTTCAAAGGTGTAATGGGAAAACTAAAGAGTAACTGTTCAACCAAGTATATTGAAATAATGTCTGTCAAAGTCTGTCTTTCCTATTGTGGAATCAGGTGGTCTTTAAATAAACAAATCTGTTCATGTCTAGCATGAATGAAACTAATCAAAGATATCAAGTGATACACTTTGGTAAAACCATTTAAGTATCAAAACGATACTTAAAACCTAAAATAAAACCAAGTATTAAATGATACTTAAAACAAGCCAAGTCTTAAAGCCATACTTAAAACAAAACATAAAACAATATATTTAACCAAGTACCCATACTGGTTACACTTAGGCCATTTCTCGCAGTGGCCTGCCTTGGCCTGGCCGACAGCCTGGCCTGTTGAGAACACTTGTAGCCGGTATGGGTACTTGGTTATTGGTTTGTTTTATATTTTATTTTAAGTATTATTTGATACCTTTAAGTAGTTTCGTTAATTGTAACCGGTACGGGTACTTGGTTATTAGTTTTGTTTTAAGTATTGTTTGATACTTAGTTTTGTTTTGTGTTATGTTTTAAGTATCGCTTTGATACTTGGTTTGTTTTAAGTATTGTTTAATACTTAGTTTTGTTTTGTGTTATATTTTAAGTATCGCTTTGATACTTGGTTTGTTTTAAGTATTGTTTGATACTTAGTTTTGTTTTGTGTTATGTTTTAAGTATCGCTTTGATACTTGGTTTGTTTTAAGTACCGTTTGATACTTAGTTTTGTTTTATGTTTTGTTTTAAGTATCACTTTGATACTTTATTAGTTTTACCAAAGTGTATTGATTGATACCTTTGATTAGTTTTATTTATGTCAGACATGAACAGGATTGTGTATTTAAAGACCGCCTGTTTCTAAGATAGAAAAGGCAGACTTCGACAGACAGTATTTCAATATACTTGGTTGAATAGTTACTTCTTTGTTCCTCAGTACACCCTTGAAGCCTCCTTTAATTCTCAGCTCTTGCCTTCTCTCTGGAAGAGCAGGCCACCTGCTAACTATCGTATCTATTACCAATAACGTGATTAGCACCTTGCGAACACATTACATTTTTTTAACCTTAGCAAGTGGTTAAGAACCTGTCTCCGGATTTGGGCCTGATCAACCAATCGATATCTACCTCAGAACGCTAGCAGAGAGAAGTGGCAGAATCACGGCACATTTGGCTTCGTCTCAAATCCAACATAAAGTCTTTGACGACCAGGTGTGGGAAGCAAATTACACAACAAGACCTTATAAGAAAGAAACAACCTTGATACTCTGCTAAGGAGTCAGAAAAATCTGCAAACATGGAAGACACACAACCTCCAGGAGAATTCCCTTCTACTCCAGCAAAGAAGCCTTCTTTTGAACCTCTAATCGACTCCGAATCCAGTAGTGAATCAGACATGGCTAGTACAGGAGGAGGGCTCTCTGGAGGAGGAAAATCTCGGGCTAGGTCTGAAGAAGAGGAAGTACCTGCAACATTTGAACCTCCTAAGTTTAAACTCCACCTCTCAGTAAAGTTTACAGGAGAAGAAAAAGACCTCAAACCCGAAGCCTTTGACTGATGGGCGACGGAACTTACATACTATCTTCTCCTGCAAGGGAAAGATGTGGAAGATCCTACAACCGGACTATACATTGGATCATTCTGTGAAGGAAAGGCAACTGATGCATACCACCAATGCTATAAGGATTATGGCAGAAATGTAAGATTAAGAGGATCTACAGTTCACGATTACCTGAAAGGCTGATTCCAATCCTCTATCACAAACAACCTCCTATACAATAAATTCAACCAGCTCCAGCAAGTTAATGGAATGTATGTCAAGAGAATCACAGATGTAGCTACGGATTTAATGATGTATAAAGACCAAATGAAGAAATGAAGTATTTCCAACTACATCCTTAAGTGATGATTCTATGATACTATGTATCCTACCCTTCGGCGAGAGGTAGAACCACTCGAGGAAGATAATAACGATATTGCAATAATAATTGCAAGAGCAGAACGAAAGGACGCCATCTTCTATGAAACCAGGGCATACAAGACACAGGCATCCTCTAGCAGGAATAGCCAACCACGACACAAGCCCTCCAGCAATTCTGAAGACGATACCCCAGGGGTTTTCAAGAAGAAAACCA